CGCCCCAGAAATCAGAAAACTATCCGGTTGTGAAAAAGTAACTGGATCCCTACCATTAGACCAAGTAAAGGCTACCCTTCCAAGGCAGGTCAATGAGAAAGTGACTATCAATGAATTCTGAAAACATGGTCATTTCAAAGGACCGCCTATTCCCTGTGGACCTCTCAAACGGGGACCTAAAAGAATTAAAATCCCCGCCTAAACACCAAGGCAATGACCACAATCCCTTAACGTAGCAAAGCTCTTCCCACAGGACTGGTCTGTCACTATCAATAACAAGCCCATAAACTCCTGAAAACACCCATCTGAAACACACATGACATAGAGAAAATACCCTTCCAACTGTTCATACTTGATAACCACCTTCGATACCGAAGTGTCGGAGGCATTTAACACTTCCCATTCCATAAACCTTCCTCCCCAAAGACTCCTAACAATCTTATCAGTGATAGAAGTTATCTTAGTTTCCTGTAAACAAACGACATGGGCACTCTACTTCCTCAAAGCTACCTTGACTACTCTTCTTTTGTCCTTATCATTTGGACCACGAACATTCCACGTAATAAGTCGTAGCTTCATCAAGAACCAAAAACGATAAACTCCCCTCCTTCTCCCCATTTTCCACTTCTGGTCCTTCCCCTTTCTTTAGTCGACCCATCCTTCCCGTCATAATTAACACAAGAAATCAGATTCTTCACTTCCTGTTCCCCTTTCCGATGCGAAAAATGTTTTCTGGCTTTAACTTCTTTTGTGCCTCAATAAGGTTCTGTATTGTCATTACTAGCAACCATTTCATGAAGAATAGACAAGGTTCGATCATCATAAACCTCTGAAGAGACACCCAAGGCTTCACTTATTGCTCCAATATTCTCAATTACCCATTCCATACCTAGATCATTGGTCGTCTCCAAACAATCTGGCCGCACAACTGCCAAAGGTTCCATTAAGTCCACATTTGGTTGATCCATATTCGTCCAGGAATAGGAGTCATTAGAACAATACTGCTGAGAAGGAAAATCTCTATTAACCTCTCCTAATTGCATATCCCCCTCTGTTTCCAAATCATCTTTTTCAGTTGACAAACTCACCTCATTCACAGATGGTAGACAATTCAGCCCTTTTAACGTAGCAAAAGCCGAAGCTCTTTAAGTAGAGCTACAACTGAGTCATTTGTTAGTTTGAAGTGCGGTCTCACCCAACGCAAACTGTCACCCCATTGAAGCAACCTACGCTCCCAGTTGTGGCTTTTGAGGCATCCAACATTGACCCATCACACCATGAACCTGAGGACCCAAGAAAACCCCTCTGTTGAGTTGATTCATCCTCCAAACCACCCCCAGTTCTCACCACTCCACCCGAAGGAGGAGTAGAAGTAGAAAGAGAGCTTTGAGAATGAACAGAGATCAAACCTAGATGAGAGGCGTGAGATCGTGCTACCCATTCTTGCTTTTCACTCGAAATCCACCGAGAACCATGGCGACCAACATCCATCATCGTCTGCTTAGATTTATCCGACGAAAGCACGTGATTAAACTCAGGCAAGACTCGCTTTGAGAAATGAGACGGAGGCTTGACATGGGCTTGTTCTTCATTACATGGCCCCAAAGGATTAGGGCCTTGCTTAGTGTTTGAGGAAGAGACGGTTGAAGACTTGGGCCCTTTTCGTCTATTAGGCCCAGATCCATTAGGCCCTGTTTGGATCCGTGTATTCGGCCCGAATCCAGTAGGCCCTGTCTGTACGTGTCAATTAGGCCCAAAACCAATGAAAGTTCTGTTGGGTTTAGACTGAGTGAGCCCAAAATTAAGACTAGGCCCGATCTCACCCTTGGCTTGCCTTGACATCTTCTTGCCCATCTCACCACCAACCTCAGCCCAATTAGTTTTTTCCTCCCCTATCTTATCATCAACACTTAAAGATAAGGATAAGAGGGAATCCGGATGAGCATCCCGTCGACCTCCACGTGTATTCCTTCGCTGTTCATCATCAACGCGCTTGGCCGGCGTGTGTTGAACACTTCGTCTTTTTCCCCCTATATACTTCACTGCTTGTTGGATTTCTCTATCCTTCAACCACTGTTGAATCTCGAGTACCCCCTTTTTACCTTTACTGAGAATCTTAGTCCATTCCTCTTCCGTCATAAGGTGTGATCCGTCACTACCTTCAAGGCTCTCCGTTGAAGGAACAAGCTCCGGCGAGATTTCTTCCCAAATCGCCACCTTGCAGTAGAAGGTGTTGTCGTTAATAAACACGAACCTCTCACTGTGATCTGAACGCTTTCAGCGTCCTTAGTCTCATCCGCATCAGATCTCACGTACCCACCACAAAGCTCTCCCACTTCGACGAACAAAGCATGACACCATAGATGCAGAGGAAGGCCAAACAACCAGATCTGTTTGAGACCTTTGTCTCTAAGAATGCCACAACACCCAACTCTGAAGGACCACACGTCGATCCTCAGAGTTACAGATTCCCACTGTCGTCGGCCTTCCTTCAGCACACGTTTGGCCTCTGCCTGAGAAGGAAACCGAAAAAGGAGCAGTAAGTCGGATAAAGGTGTTACCCCCACTCGGTCACACCCTCCAACCTCGTCAAAACGTCCGACTAGGCAAGATGAGAGCACTGACTTCCTCATTTGCAAGATCAAATACAGTTTGATGAATTGCAAATTATTAATACTAATAATTTATGAACTACTTCTGTTTTTATGGTCCTTATCTATAGCTTCAAGTTAGAAAAATTAGTGTAAGAATGAAAGAGGTATAAAAAGGAAGGATTGTAATAGCGAAAGGCATTGAATGTTGTAGGAGAAAAATACTTTCTTCTTTGAACTGTGAGTAATTGTTGTACACATAGTAGGTTTTGTAATTGTGCAGCTTAATATAATCTTCAGGTTTCTCAAGGTTGTATATCTCGTAGAGTCTTTTATAAATTAAAATAGGCAATGATGCCCTTCCTCATTTGCAAGATCAAATACAGTTTGACGAATTTAAAATTATTAATACTAATAATTTATGAACTACTTTTGTTTTTATGGTCCTCGCTACAGGTCAGATTCAAATCCACCAAGTTATCTTCACCTATATCTCTTCCATAGCTTTTCGGGTGGACAATTGAATCAGTCCATGCATCTATTTTATGACTTTCATCACGTGGTTGTTCTTAAGTATTCCAATCTATTTGATGTGGATTCCCTCTTCTCACGGTCGTTTTGAAGTACGATCTTTATTCTTATGTCTGTCTAATTTTGTTAGCTTTGTCTTCCCTCGGAAAACTATATAGCACTCTTCGGCACCTACTAGGGTGGCATTATTTGTTTGGACAGCTGTGTGGGGTTAGATTCTGACGATTGATTATTTGAGGAAGAGGGGAAATTGTATTGTTAATTGGCGTTGCCTTTGTAAGCAAGATGGGAATCTGTTAATCATCTTCTAATGCATTGCCATTGTTAATTGGTGTTGCCTTTGTAAGTAAGATGGGGAATCTGTTAATCATCTTCTAATGCATTGCCATGTGGCGTACGATTGTTGGAATCTTAGTCATGGACTGTTTGGCATGTGTTGGGTAATGCCACGTTCTACTAAGGATTTGGTTTATGCCTGGGGAGGATGTCGCGTGAGCAGAGGTGTGCGCGATTACTGGAGAAATGTCCCACATTGCGTATGGTGGAGCATTTGGAAGGAGAGAAATAGTAGAATGTTTGAAGGAAAAGAGTCGTCTACGGCGACACTAAAACTTGTTATTATTCGCTCTTTCTTTAGTTATGTGAAGAGGAGTTTTTGCTCTTCTTCTGATGCTTTAATTATTTTTTTGGATTCTTTGGAGCCTTAGTCCCCGAATTATTGTTTTAGGGACGCGTTCCCCATTTGAACGCTTTTTTAATTTATTATTACCTATAAAAAAAAAGAAAGTATTCCAATCTATTTTATGACTTTCAATTAGTGGGCATGACTAATCCATTCCCCAACTTAATAACTAAATTTCAATAGTAGTAGACCTAATTGTTAATTCGACAAAATATTTTTGATTGGACTTTTATGCTCTGTTTGGTTTGAGGGATGGGAGAATGGATGGAAGGGAGAGGGAATGAATGGATGAAGCATCCCTAGGGAAGGGAAAATGTCTCTCACACTTTTTGTTTGGTTGGATGGAATGGATAATAGAAAGGATGGATGGGGTGACACTTTTTTTGTTTGGTTGGATGGAATGGATAATAGAGAGGATGAAAGGGAATAAAATGTTTTTATATTCTTTTTACCAATATATCCTCATTTTCTAAAATTATTAGAATTAGATATACATTTCAAATTTTTGGTAAGGTTAAAAATGGAATTTTATATTTGTTTTAATTATCCCTTCTTTTTCTCTCCTCTTCCCCCAATATTGGGATAGAAAAATACAGCAAGGAGGAATGCTTCATCCCTCCTTGCTTTCATCCCTCATTTCCCTTCCCTGCAACCAAAACAAAAAAGTTGGTTTTATCCCCCTTCTCATCCATCCCTTCTAAATCCTTCCGTCCAACCAAACATAGGATTAGTTTCTTTTTGTTGAAACTTAGATCAATCAGGACTTCGTATTTGTAATACAATGTTTATGTCTATTTGTACTATACTTATGAGGTTTCCATGTGCATTTATACTAGTATATGTATATAGAAAAAGTAGCAAGTACAACATATATATATATATATATATATATATATATGAAAATTGCTACCCACTAATTATACTTTAGCTTCTGTAATTAGTGTGAAATTAATGGTACAAAATCTAGGGTAAATAACTAAATCAATGAGGGTCAGAAGAAGAAAAAAAGAGAGATTAGAGGCCTTTGGAAACTCAACAGATGTCGTTTTGACAATGCTGTTTTTCAAATTGTGCAAATGCTGTTTTTCAATCCCCAACACTAGAGGCCTTTAAAAACTTTCGCAACCTTACACTTTTTACTTTTTCTTTCTCATTTTTGGACTTATTATTTCCTTTGAATTGGAATGCATTTGCAGAAAAAAGAAGATAAATCAACTGAAATTATTCATGGCGTTGCAATTGGTGTTGCTATTGCCATTTGGGTGATAGCACTGCTTACTGATCGCCCGAATTGATTATGTACGTATCTGCTTATTGGTGGCTTTTCCTGATATCTTGAACACCATTAGACTTGGCTCAGTTCACTTTCTGTTTCAAAAATTTTCAGGTCCAAGACGGCGGCAATGTTTTTTTTTGAGTGTTTTCCGGCACATAAAATGACGAGAGATTATGAACCTGTCTGATAGAACTTCATTATTATAATTCTACCATTTCAATTGTATGTCCATATTTGATACCTGTGATACCTGGGACATTTTTGGGTATCCGGAGACTTTTTAAATATTTATGCAATGCAGGTATTTTCAGACTTTATATGTGTTGCTATCTATGTTGATTGTTCTTCTATCTTAAGCTTACGATGTCTTTCTCCCATACATCACTTTTATAACTATGTTGTTACTAATTTGATGAGATTTTGATGTTTTAACATGTCTGGTTTATGTCTACAGGCTCATAATAGCTATTACATGTTTTAACACGTCTGAATTTTTAATATTTATTCCATGTTAATAATAATATATAAATAAATTCCCTACAGGCCCATAATAGCTATTAAGAGCAATATATAAGTAAATATAAATATACGTACCTGTCAGGTTGCTGGGGTATTTTCTTCGGTATATACGTACGATATTTTGTCAAATCTTCACCCAACACAATCCCAGCAAACTCTTTCTGTTGTTCAAAGCAAGTTTTTTTTAAATATATTGCCACGTAAAATTCTTTATATCAATTGAAACTGCATATACGTACCAACAAATTAACATACGAATTACATGTATGGGTTCTTCCCTTTGAACAAATGTAATCCACCATTCGCTTGCGACGGTTTACCACAAACAATAACCAATGCCCGTCTATGCATGATGGGAATAATAACTGCACCAAGGTCAATATAAAGTTAATCTTACAAAAACTATGGTTTAAAAAATTATATCCAATAAATAAAATACATACTCACCAATTGCGCTTGTATGGGATGTGGAAGAAAAGTTATCTCAGAATCCTTATTGTATTTTGACCAGACTTGTTGTGGGACAGGCCAGCGTCCACCTTTAGTCTTTATCTTCATCACATTGAAATCAATAATGAACTGTACCGCTCTACTACTAAAGCAGTACTTTTCCCCAGCAGGTCCTTGCTCCATGTTTAGTATATTCCCAAAGAAATTAACCACCTTTAAATAAATACATTTCATTTACACACATTCAATTTTTATACCATCAATAACCATAACTATGCAATAGTAATGTACGAAATCCATTTAACTCACATCATCGGACAACCACCTATCATGGAATACACTTTGAATCTGATGATGACTTATAGTGCGACCAAACATGGAAACAATTATTTCAGTGAAGAGACAACTAATAACAACGCTTGTAAATTAACTATAATACTCACACATTACATCTAAAAACATGCAATAATTATTCAAACGCAAACATATGTAATGCAGAAGATGACAAGTGTGCTTTAAAAAACTTACGAACTATCTCCGTCAAACTTTCCCACATATGTCAACAGCAGTTTCTGCTCCTTGGTGAGACAAACCATTTTATTGTTTTTCTTTACATAGGGAGCGTAAGCATATCCACAGCTCTTTAATTTCTTCTTCCCCCTTGCAAACTCTACAAGTCCTTCATTCTTGGTTAACTCAATTTGGTGCGAACTTAACTCACTGTCTCGATAAATGGCCGCAACAACAGCATTCAACTCATTATTTTCCTCGACACTTAGCAAAAAACTGTGAGTTGGAATAGAACAACTCTCATTCTTTTCACCCTGCTCCTGCTCATCATCATCATTACACTTTTCCTCACTTCTTTGATCAGTTTCTTCATCTTCGCTTCTTTCATTGCTATTGCCAGACTCTCCATCATTTTCTTCATCCTCACCTTCCTCATTGGCCTCATTGCCATCCGCAGAGTCTCCATCACTTTCTTCCTCATTGTCACCATCAGTTTCTTCATCCTCAACTTCTTCATCCCCACCTGATTCCTCAACACGGTCAACATCATCATCATTACCATTACCATCTGCACCACTTGGTTGCCCACCCAACCCATCATTCTTCTCTTTGTTCTCCCTTGACAGTTTTGCTTTTTTTTGGCATGTCCCACTTCTTGAAGGCAAACAACATTTTTGTTAGACTTCTTTTGGATTTTAATACACTTAATTCAGCCATTTGTATGTCCATTTGCACTCTACTTATGCAAACCTATGTAAAATAAGGACAATTAGTTCACATAACTTTTTCAAATATATCTTGTAAATACATAAAATGTATTTTACAACACAATTACCTCCACATCCGAGTCAGAAAAATGATAATCATCACAATCAATGTTTAAAGAAGGGCCAAAACCACCTTCGGCTGGCACATCATTACCACTACTGCTGCTATATGTCTTCGGCTTCAGAGAGATCAACTATTTCCATTCCATATTTAGATAACACTAGTCTATCATCAAATTATAATATATATATATATATATATATATATATATATATATATATATATATAACTATTTGCAACAATACAAAATAATATTCGTAAATATACCTGTCCATACATGACAAAAATAATTACCTGTCCATGTCCAAAACCTTCATTACCTATCTCCCATCTGATGCGTGATCGTACAACCTCTGATGTCCAAAAACCTAACCTTTTAATATCTCCCTCAGGATAAGCTCGGTATTGCGCATCACAACGTATCAGATAAAACAGCTGATTTAAAAGACCAATAATTAAAATAAATATTACTTATGTTGAATCAAATGAATACGTAATTCACAAAAAAAAAAAAAAAATTCATAACCAAGGATACCTGCAAAAAAATCATACAACCATCGTATGACTTTTTCAACTTGCCATCTGCAGATGGTTCCGAGGTTCTCACCAAACAATCACGGACATATCTGCACTAGTTGTAACTGCTAATTGTATTCACATCATCTACAGTTTTCAACAAGCCCCAATGACAATTATTACAACCGGTGGGACTGAGTACAGTACTGCAAGCAAATAGCACAAACGCTCGCTTGAATTCATCCATTCCCTTTACCGTTAAAACCTGCTCTAACAATACATCTTGGTGCATTCGACCAGCTTCCTTATAACCACCTTCATCTATCCACTTAGAATCAAGAAACTGATTATTTTTCGGCACTTTTATAAGGCCAAATGGTATGCCAAGGATAGAGTGGATATCAACTAAATGAATGGGTATATAACTTATGTCCTCAACTTTTATACAACATTTTTCAAAATCAAAATTTTTGATTAAATACATACATAACTCCCGGGACAAAAAAGAACATTTAAGTTCCAGTAATTTTCCAAATCCAACCTACTCAACAACCTTTATCTTTTCCTCATCAAGCTGTGATACTGCTTTGCGGAACTTGGAAAGGAGCATTTGTGCCAGGCACCTTGGGTCAAATTGATCTTTTCCCTTTTCTTCTGCTTCAAAGGCATATGATTATAACACATCATGCATACATTCTGGGTTTCGTCATCAAATAAAATATTTACATTAAAATTTAATCACCATTTCTTTTTTTGGGGCCCTTCTTTTTTCAGGAAGCTTGTCGTACTCTTCCTTTTGTCTTGTACTCTCTCTGATCCATGGTTCCATATCTGTTTAGCAATTTGCGCACCGTATTCATCACTGCCTTTGGTAACCTGTCATGATTTGAGTGCTCTGTCCTGTACTTTCTAATGCACTCGGCCCTTTATGTATGCATTGCATATTATCACAACTTATTTTACCATGTATCGTGTATGAATTGCATATTGCATTAACATATTTTTCTAACACGTTAAATCAATTAACTTCCCCAACTCAGTTTTATAATTCATAAATTAAAAATAAGAACCACAAATACTTTCAACATATATATAGGAAGATTTGCATATTTCATCACCTACTATTTGTAACGTAATACAATACAATTACTAAATTAAAAGTTGGGCAGATCAATTTATTTTGCTCACAACTTGTCTAAACATGTATCATGTATGAAATTAACTTATTATTTATATTGCATCAACATATTGACCTACCAACTTAAAAAAATTAACTTCCACAACTTAATCTCACAATTCCTAAATTAATAATAACAACCATAAACACTTTGAGTATATGTAGGAAGATTTCATATTCGGAAACAACAAATTATTATTATACGAACTTTTAAACACATGTATCATGCATCAATTGCATTTAACATCATAATATTTTCCCAACACGTTAAAAAAATTAACTTCCAAAACTCAATTTCACCATTCCCAACCATAAAATCTGAATAAAATTTCTAAACCCTAAAACAAACCAATCCATAATCAATGTTTACCTATACATTAAGAACACTATGGGAGGCTGGTTCACCAAATCCTGCTCGCCACCGGAAATACCAACACTGCTTCGTCCTTCACGTGAGGTTTGTCCTTCATGTGAGACGTTCTCTGTTCTTGCGTCATTGGTAGAAATTGACTTTTTCTTCCTAGATACCTGGAACGTACGTTTATTGGTTTTCTTCCTCGCTATAGATTTTAACCTAGCCATTAAAATTTGAAATTTTGAACTTGAGACGAAGACGAAGAGGATAGTACAGGAGTTGGAAGGAAGAAGAATAATGGAAGAACGTTCAGAGGAAGCAACGAAGACGAAGAGCAGAGGAGTCAAATTAGGGTTCTGTAATTTTACCCCCAACGGTAAAGTTGAAAGTAATTTTAACAAAAAATTATTAAATGTAATTGTAAATTATGTATTCTGATTTCGTATAATGTATAAGTGTATGGTATATTAGTATAAGTGTATAGAGTATTTGTACATGTGGTAAATAAAAATAGTACATCAGTAACTTTTTTGTGTAAATGCTGACTGAGTGCTGACGTGGCAAATGGGTTGAGGTGGTTTCATCTCAGCCATTGGATATGCACTGATCCTGCTCCAGTGAGAGGTGCACTAGAGCAGATTTGGATCCGATGTTTGGCCCTGTGTCAGCTATATTTCAATTATTTTATCAGCCAAAGAATGGTTTTAGAGGAAAGTAACTGGCTACGTCACGTTTTATCCTGGTTTGCCTGCATCTTAGGAAAGGTGCCCAAACATTAGAAGCATGAAAACTTCGAACAGGGTGGAATCATATACTATATTCAGATACATTTCGATCACGTGTGGGCTACGGTTAAAAATATTTTTAATAATGAATATTTTATTTTATATATGTACACAGTAAGAATATTTTTTGAATACTTTTAAAATACGGTGAGATAAGTCATTCATGAAAGAAAAAAAAAATACGGTGAGATAATTTTGTAATTATTTAAAAGAAGAAAAAAAACTATAATTCAATGCAATCTAGAATAAATTATGGGTTAATTAAAAAAATAATATAAAATCTAAAATAACAGACATCCGGTTCCAAACTCTTAACTTATTAGTTTATCTATGATTATAGGGATAAAATGAAAAAAATTATATATAATTTATATATATTATATTATTATTATTTTGATGTATCCATGTCATTACTATGTTCTAATTTTATTTTATTTTGAGATTTTTTGTATTACCGTATCACCTTATAATTGGGAAGACCTCATGGGATCAACTGTTGTAACAGGGATACTATCAGGACGTTTACACTGTTGTAACAGGACCACTAGGCCCAACCCAACAATAAGCCCAACCCCAGTTGCAGTCCCAGACTAAATTTATAGATATAAAGACCCAATAGCTGCAGTTTTGGGCTTTTGTTTTGTTTGAATTAGAACTGAGCTTCGGCACTAAGCCTTTCTAGTTTTATTATTTTTATTATTATTATTATTTTTATAAATATATTTATTTAAATTATATAATAAAACTATGGCATACTAGTTTTCTTTTCTTTTTTTTTTTAAAAAAAAAAATTATTTATTTATATATTTATTTTATTTAGCAAAACTAGGAATTTTTTTTTTTTTTTTTTTTTTTTTTTTTTTGGAGCTCACACAAATTTTTTCCTTACCTGATATCCAAATCCATGAATCAACCTCTTTTAAATCCTTTGATTTGATTTGAATTTTTATTTTTATTTTATTCAACATACACCACTTGTTACTTAGCCCAGTTGAGATGATGAGGAATTGCAGATGCTTTTATGAGAAACTTTATAAACCTAAATTTCAGGCTGGATATTTTGTTACTCTAATCCCAGAGATATATATCTGAATCTCATTTTTTCCTCTTAAAATTCACATTGTGGCATCTGAATCTCTATTATTTTGTTCCTTGGAAATTCATAATTTTTTACCTTCAATATCAGAGTGAGGGGCAGGCTGATTGCTTTCTAATGTAGCTTGTTTGCATGTTTTTGTTAAAGCCAGGGGGCTCAAAAGACAACGCAAGCTATTTGATTTGCCAACAATATTGTGATTACTGACTAAATTCCCAGGGAAAATTAGGGCTTGCTTGGTTGCACTCGGAAATCAGTCCTAGTTTTCAAAAAGTAGTTCTCAGAAACTGTCGACCAGACAGATTTTTGTATAGTTTTTAGATTTTCAAAACAAAAAAACTATTCTCAGGAACCAAGCAAGCCCATTATTGGTCCCATTTATATCAAAGACGGATATAATAATTAAACCCACCAACACATTTTCAGGTACAATAACACAATAGTAAAACTTAAATTGAATAGCTACAAGAGTTGACAGACTTGTGCAGCTGCAGTGATGCACTCAGTTGTCCGTTTGGATATATCAGATATTGTTGCCTCGGGTCCTTAAACCTACAAGAGAGCATACAAACAAGAGAAAATTTTCAGTATTTTCAAATCTACGATTATAAGTCCACGAAATTTTCCGCATCATTTTAAAGTTTAAACCAACATGGGAATGCTTTTTGGGTTGCATGAATGTATGGGTACCTCAATAGGGATGCCAATTTCATCCCCAAGTGTCCGCATTTTGGCAGAATCCCTTTGGTAACTTGGACCTCCTCTTTTTACATATATGTGCATCCTCGCGGCTTTAAGCATTGATTCCTATTTACATACGACAGATTCAGCCACTGTGCTTATAGCAAGAGGATGACGTTGAGAATAATAAACATGGCCATGATAGATACAATATTTACCTTCTCCTTCAAGACTCTAATAATGCCATCAAATGTAGCAGCAACATCGGTAAAGTTGGCGATTCCACCACCTATTACAAGGGGTCTACAATGCACTCTGTAGTCTGTAGTGGAGAATTCAGGGAATTAGTTGCTATAAGCAGAATTGCATAGCCTGATAAAAGCATATATTAAGTTTATTGAAGGAAATGTAGAATTAGTTTTGCTAACAATTCTTCATCTGCAAAGTGGAGCTGTAACATTAAATTAGGAGCAGAGAGGAAGAGTTCTTACATCAATTACAACTCTGGCATACTGCAACACCTCCTCTTCATTGGCATCTCCACTATATTCAGCATAATTCCCAAGCTCGGAAGCATAGCCAATATCTCCAACCTGATCAGGTTAAACTAGTTGCCATGTAAAAGGACAAGGATGACGACGACGACGATGATGTGCACAGAGAGAGCGAGAGTTAAAAGTTAATAAAAGCCCCAAGTGCATCGGATGAGAACCACACCGTATCCACATAGATGACACTAGCACCTTCTCAACAGTCCAAATTCAGCCCTTGGGGTCCAGAACAGTGAACTTCAAAGATGCACTTGTCGGCAAGCAAATAACAAACTCGAAAATTTAACTGTGAACTGCAAGGATGCACTTGCTTCAAACGAATAACTAACTCATAAATTTAATAAGATCCTTGTGGGTAAAGAAATTCATTGAACAGCATGCAACTTCATAATGTTTTACCTCTTCCCCCTCCCAATAGGAAAAAACAAAAAATTTAAGAACAAAAACTTTTGGGTTTCAAGAAGCAAGCCACCACTCTAGGGTTTGCTTTGGGTTAAACACAATGCTGAGATTCAAGAACAAATCAACTCTAATTGTTTACATTTTTCTTAAAGCCGGGATTTATTTGTAAATAAAACAACTATCGAATATTTAAAGCATCTATTTATACCTTTTCATCTAGACCATGTATTAAGCTTTCAGTAGGGACTCATAACTCTTTCGAAAGATAATAGAAATTCAATATTGCCCCACCTGCAAGAGAAAAGTCTTGTAAGGGGAGAGACTAATAAAATTATAAAATGAATATGTTTGAATTGCTCGAGTTCCATACCCAAAAAAAAAAAAAAAAGAGAATACCTAATAAAGAAAAAAACAAAGTAAAGGTGGTAATCACTAAGAAATACTATACTTCTTGAAGTTCTTGAAAGCAGCAGTGTCATCAAGTTGGCCTCTCATATCCAAAGGTTAAGGCTTTCCATCGATCAATGTTAAAGGATTCATCTCAAGGAAAGTGAAGTCCAAAACTAACATAAGAAACAAATTTCCAAAAAGTTAAAGTAAATTACAACAGGATTTAATGTTGTCTTAACAACTTCAAATGTAAATATATACACAAGTATCTGTTAAAGATTCTCATCATACCAAAAAATAGAGTAAAAATCACTTTAATGAACTCCTCATGTACACCCTAGATCTGGATAATAGAGTTGCGGCTGAATTGCTACCCAGAGAGAATACCACATAACCTTACATGAAAGTAAGTTAACAGCTATTGGAATAAATTGTTTCATTTTTTTGCATAATATCAATAGAAAAGGAAAGGAACCTATTTGTAACTAAGAAAACAAAATTCAACAGAAAGAGACGTATGACTGCACGCATGAATTTTTTTCTTTCTTAGTGTTCCAGGACGTTTTGACTTTAAAATTTTGCAGTAAGGAATAACTAGGAGCAGGAAAATAGCCCACGGAAATACTGTTACAAAGAAATTACCTCCAAGGGAAGGGTTGCAACAAGTGGAGTGCATATCTCTGATGTAAAGGACACCCCTGTTGGGACAAATATAGTTTTAACCAGGACATGGAAGAAATAACTTCCATAAATTTTTAGATATACAAAATAACATGCTACAAAGAAAAAAGTCCATTTCGGTTTCAGAAGAATTTTATCATTTTGTAGGGTTAAACAGCAAATTCCATGATCAAAAGTACCTTGTCCCAGTTCTCTTCAATTTCGATTCCTCCACATTCAGAAAAGCTTATGCTACGTCCAAGTCGCTCTGAAACAATATTATGGTTAAAATTCTTCATTGTGTGGGATATTTTGTTCAACAATGAATGTTTTTTTTTTTTTTTTTTGATAAGTTCAACAATGAATGTTGTTATAGGTCCTTTACATCCCCCATCTCTACCTATTGAACAAAGAAGATGCAAATTGAAAAACCATGTCATCAAAAGATTATATTGGAACTTGATGAATTATTAAAATGAGCGACATAACAAGAAGTACCTCTTTCCCATGTCACTCTTTCACAAAAGTATCAGCATGAGCAAAATCTAGATTTAACGCAACTAGACCGCTCTTCCCACAATTTCAAAACAACATATCAGGTTTCACAACAAGTTTCCCTGACGAGAGCCATGGTTCCTTTTCTACTAGCCCATTGAAATCCGTTGATTCTGTAATCTATGCCACATTAAGGACATAACACATCGTTAAGTTCAGCGAGCTGCATCTTACTGCCCTGCTTGTATTGTATAAAAGATCAATTAAAGCCATTCTTCACTTTGGTAACTTATTCAACAAATATGAATGATCAAAATTTTAAAAATATATATTTTTCATGCTTCAATCAGTGTTTCTCATTTCCAAACAGCATCTATTTCACGCTCTCAAGGCCTTGGTTTCTTTGACAACCCAAAGCTCTATGAAACATTAGAAAAAGATATACTGGAGGTCAAGCCCGGTTATTTGACAGACTTATGTAACAAAGAGCATCTATTTCATGTTTCATTCATCACAGATCACCTTGCTAGCCAAAGTGGTTCAAAAGATTGGTGCAAAAACCAAAACCTTTCATGTTCGATGCTCCAAATTCTGCTGATTTCTTACTGATTACCTAGGAAGCACTGATACTCCTCTAGAGGTGCTATGGATGCGTCGAAGACGAGGACATGGCGGACCCTTGTCCAACATGGCTAAGAGTGTCCCTGAGTTTGATTTTAAATTTTATAATTATTATTTTTTTCTTGCTACGCATGGCATCGACACAAAGGGGACACATCAAAGGCACAGTTAGGACATGGCAGGGTAGTTTTACAATTACGTTTCTAAAAATAGGTTCCAATGCAAATTTAAATCATATTATAGGTTAATGAAAAAATAATATAAGTTCTAGAAAATAAAAATAACACACATATAGCACTAAGCTCCTAATGTGGACAAAATGATCAAAAATCAATTTTTTATATGTATAATAATATATTACATTATTATTTATTCTCGGATCCCTGCCCCGTCCATATTCTTTTCTTTTCTTTTCTTTTCTTTTTTTAGATTTGTCATACTGTAGTGTTTGTATCGTGTCGCACCGACCTGTGTTCCGTGTCCATTTCCATGCTTTATAGCCTATCAATAAATCTTTTGCAAGAACAAATTAGAATTACCAGATTCAATGTTACAAGTTTTTACCAAATCTCTATAAACAATACAACTTCTGTTACATATCTGATCAAATCTCTATAAACAATGTAAATTTTCAAGCAAATTAAAAATCCAATTTAAGATATTCAAAGAATGATATTGCTAGAAACTTCCCTCTCTCATACGATGAAATAAGTAGAACATTTAACCATGAACCAAAACTACGATATTGACCTATTGTACATACTGAAACTAGATACATGTTAATATTTAGACATCAACTTAGATTTTGTGAGAGTCAGTTCTTGATGATATTGAACTTACATGACAAATATTTGGAATCATTAGGCACGGAAAAGCACAGTGGATCTTCAGAAAGAGAATGGTCTTGGCACCTAGTTTAAAATCCATTTGACACTTTAGGTGTGACGGGAAGCTCAGTTGTTGCACTTGTAGGTATAGATTAATCTTTTCCCTAACCACAAGTGCTCTAATAAATAATAAATATTTTGACTATAAGTATTTTTTTTTTTTTCTCAATATTGACCTATAGCAGGATTTGAACTCTGAAATTTCTTTTTGGGATGAGAGGTCATACCATTTGGACTAATGCCCATTGGTGTTTCGACTACAAAGATTACAGAATAGTAAAAATGGAGACTTTTTTCAGCAGAAACAAACATTATACAAAAATTAAGAAGCTTGTCATTGTCAATCCATGAACTCAATATGCCCAAAAATTAAAGATATAAATATAAGAAAATACACTTGTGCCAATTTAATAACCAATTCGTTACCGCAGAGCCTCTTGAAGTGCTCCTTCAACAGCCTCTTGGAATCATACTCTCTGATCTTCCCACGTGCCATTTCTTCTTTACCTGTTTTCACAAAACCATGATCTTTAAAATTTGATCTCAAATCTACAATCCCAGATCACAAGCATCAAAGAAAATTTCATAAAATTAGAAAAAATCTAAATTAAATTCAACAAAAACACAAGGTTACATTTTTAAACTCAACAATTGAAACAAAATCTAATGATCGTCTTAGAAGAAAAGCACTGTACAGTAAATCGCACCAACACAGATCTACTGTAAATTAATGAAAAAAATAGAGATATGTTGAGATCATAGCTTGGAATTATATGGGAAAAAGGAAAATGAAATTAAATGTCGTTGATTTAAAGGTAAACGAGGCTTTAGAGAGATTCAGAGAGAGAGAGATTGAACAACCGCTGAAATTTTTCATGCTTAGCTGGGTCTATTTATAGTTGAAAATTTTGCGTTTTTCTTATTTATTTATTTAAGTCTCAAGAAATGATTTGGTTGATGTTAGAGTTCATACATAAAGTAAATATAGAGCAGAGATACATTCTCTAACATCCGATGATGTTGAACATGGGTTATGTCACGGGGTGCTCATGCCGCCACTCACATAATCCATATCCTGCACACATCTTTTAAGAAAAGAAATGAAAAAGAAATCTCAACATGAGACTTATGAAATATCTATATTATTTATAAAAGGGTTGATAATTGAAAGAAAAAATTAAAAATTACACAACAATGCTTAAACGCTCTATATATATTGCTATGCTATTTTTGCACAATTAAATTTACAATAATATGTTATTATCCAATTCAGGTTCGCTATTGAATTTGACAAGCTAGAGTACTTTTTCCTCAATTGATTGATAACATTTTTTGATTTACAATCTAATTTTCAATTCAAGCTAATTATAACAACAAAAGTGATACAATGCCAACGTCAGGTATACTATTACTATCCAATGCAAGATGTTTAACAAAAAAATTACTACTTTTTATTTAACTAAACATTTTTTGTTTTTTTTTCAAAGACGAAAAACAACATTAACAAGTATGAACAATATTAACAAATAATTATTAGATAAACATACTATTCTGACAACTTCCTCTTGGAGCGAGTTTCTCTCCTCTCTCTCCACCAAACCTCGAACTCCCAACATAAGGGTTGACTACACAAGCCAACTCCCAAGCCAATGAGGCACAAAAAGGATTGTTACTTAGGAGTGAGTTGCTTGTAATTCATTAGCTTAAGTCACTAAATAGGAGCCTTCATATTGTTCACTCTTAATAGTTAGTCTCCAAAATTCAATAAAGAAAATGAAAGAATTGGACCACTTTTAATGTCGTACAAAATTATTTCTCTAACTCTTAAATATATTTGATATATATTTTATTCTTGTGGACTTCTCTCAAAGAAATTGCACTTAAAATTCTTCATTTATTATGAACTCATAACTATTCTTATAAATATATATTCCATTATTTCAAGAAATGGCGAGCAAATGGCGTCCTCCCGTACCTAAGTAGACTCAGCCTCATTATGGTGACTCTACGCACTAAAGGTATAACCTTATTGCGAAGAATTCGATCCCGACGATCTACAATACGACATGGTGGCTCCATATATGTTCCATCCGGCTGCAACTCAATCTCACCAACATCAATATGCTGATAACGATCCTCATTTCGCAGAAATTTCTGCAACATGGAAACATGAAACACATTGTGCATACGATCCAAATGGTCCTGAAGTGCTAACCGATAAGCCATATCTCCAACTCAATCCATAATCATGAATGGGCCGACAAAGCACGATGACAACTTCCCTTTCTTCCCAAAGCGCATTATTCCTTTCATACGAGACACTTTGAGTAGAACCTGATCCCCAACCTGAAACTCTAATGCACGAGTATGATGATCGGCATAACTCTTTTGCCTACTCTGGGCAGTGCGCATGCGATTCCTAATAAGAGCAATCTTTTCAGAAGTATCCTTAATGAATTCAGGACCCAGAAATCTGCTCTCTCCAACCTCCATCCAACAAATAGGAGATTGACATGGACGGCGTATAATGCCTCAAACGATGCCACACCAATAGTCTTCTGGAAGCTATTATTATACGCGAACTCCACAAGTGCAAAAATTCTCCCAGTGGCCCTTAAAATGAAGAACACAAGAATGAAGCATATCCTCTATGATCTGATTAACCCTCTCGGTCTGTCCATCAGTCTGAGGATGATAAGCAGTGCTAAGATGCAACTCTGTATCCAAAGCCTATTGAAAACTCTTCCAAAATCCCGACACAAAGCTCGAATCCCCGTCCGATATAATAGATAACGGAATGCCATACAACTTCACAACCTCTATAAGTAAAGTCTTGCCAACTGCTCCGATGTGAAGTCAGTGCGAATAAGCAAGAAATGAGCTGATTTAGTCAACCTATCAACAATGACCCAAATAGAATTGTAATCCTTGAATGAATTAGGCAATCCCTCCACAAAATCTATAAAAATGCTCTCCCACTTCCACTCTGGTATAGGCAGTGGCTGTAGAGATCCTGGTGGCCTCTGATGATCGATCTTGACCATCTGACAAGTACTACACTGAGAGACAAAAATAATAATGTCTTTCTTCATACCTGTCCACCAAAACTGCCGCTTTATATCTTGATACATTTTATCTCCTCCTGGATGAACAGAAAACTCAGAATAAAAACACAAAACACAGTTTAAACTCTGAATTAACATTCAAACAAGTCCAATTTTAATGTTCGATTAAATCCTGGAGATTATCTAGGCATGCACTGTGATACACCTCGATTCTAGAGCCACGGGTGATCAAGTCCGAGCACAGATCTGAGGGATACCAACTGTCAATATATAAACAAGCAAGAATAAAACTGAATTAAGAATAAGATAATAATGCGCTGAAAGAAAACTAAAATGAAAATCCTCGAACCTTAAATAATAAATTAATATAATTTAAATCCGTATAACTCGGGAATCCATCTAGTGGACCCCTAATTCCAAAACTTTAAATAAATTTACAGAATTAAAATCCAAAACCAAAATAGAAAGGAAATCCTATATAACCGGAAGAGTGAGTGTCTGTATCTGCATCAACACGATCCAACTCTAAGCCTGGTACTGGCGAATACCTGAAAAATAGAAGTGGGTCAAGCCCACATGCAAGTTCCAATCTACTACAATCCGTACATAAACCCGATACGCAAATACATCCTTGATAGCTCGGCAATATCTACAATAGTCCATATATATATATACACACTATAGGATGCTCATTAAACTATAACATAGTTCAGCCTGGGTAGAAGGTGACATATAAAACACGCTTTTCAGCGGCCAAGTACCTAGACTTACTAAGGAACATTAGCTATATCTAGCTACTTAACCTTTGTAATATACGCACCCTAACCGTGATCAGGAGACTCAAGCTCGTATCACGGTACCATAAATATATATATAAATTCCTTCCTAACGCAGAAAGATAAAACAAACATCCGTTATGTCGTTCAACTGTTTTAGTTGACAGGACATGCATCCATGTAGGATTTAACTGTTTTAGTTAATCCATTCTGTATGCATGAAGGGGTAGGACTTAGCTTTTTGATCTAATCCATCCCTGATATGTCACCGTCCCATACCGGTACATATAATGCAAATGATCCACCAGTGATGCACATTCATTAGAACATCAAGTATATCCATGAACCAACATAATAGAAAACAGGTATTATTAAGATCCTATTATGCATCCAGTATATGATTATAATCATAGATCCTCCTTTTAAATTGTTAAAGTACTGATAAACAATTTAAGCCATCCATTTCCATATAATTGACAGAACAGAAATTATGACAGTTCAGCAATTATCATCCATAACATAATATAATGAATAACAGAATTATAACTGCACATTATACTAGAATTCCCAACCAATACATCCATACTAGTTCATTTACATTATTGAAACGAAGACTAGCATATAAATCCTCCTCAATCCTTGTCGGCATGTAAATTAATATTTAATTCTTATGGCGACTATTTAATCCCCAACTATAAGTCCGAAGCATGATCTAATTATACTCAGATATAAAAACTGAATACATTTTATTTGAATGCCAAAACCACCTCCATGCTAGTCCATTTAGTTTTCTAAAGCGAGACTAGTAATTACAACTTGCACTGCTCCTGACAGCATATAATTTAGTATCTAAATTTCATGATATCTATAACTATAGTAGAAACCAACATTCCTGGGACCCATACATTATATATTTCATTTATATAACCTCACAAAACAACTTTTATTTTAGTCCGTTTAATTTACTAGTACCACGCTAGAAATTAACCCTTCCACCCTCCTTGACTGCATGCTTAATTAATAATTAAAAGTCATGACATCCACTCCCATAGCCTCAACCAATAATTCTAGGTCTTTGAATAGATTAAATACATCATTTTAAAACCTCTCCATTAAATTTGCTTAAACATCATGACAAGAAATTTAATTTCTTCCAAGCCGTAAACCGCATGTGAATTTAATTTTAAATCCCAAGTTGATCAAGTTCCTAACATGAATTAATCATTCATGGGTATAATTAATCATTCTTGGGTATAATCCTATTTAATTACATCATTCAAATCCATCCAACCAAGTTTAAACACACATTGGAGCCCTGAAATCACAAAATTCACGTACTGGGCACTTTATAAAATTGGAGCCGCCTCCAATTTTAAGTTGAGCCGGCTCCAATTTTTAGTTGAGCCGCCTCAACTCTTTGTGGAGCCGACTCCACTTCAATGGAGCCGCCTCCACTTCCCCAGCCTCCGTTTTTCCTTCTTTGCTTCCTCTGTGTTGCCTTTTTCGTATCCGGCAAGCCTCCGCCCTCTGTCCCACCTTTTGTTAAAGATTTCTAAGGTTCAAATTAAGTCCTAACAAGCCTAGAAACTTCTTTAATTCCAGCATGAATTACCGAGCAAAAGCTTAAACCACGAACGCAACAGTTTATATTTTCTCCGTTTATCTTCTTCGCGTCTGGCGAATTTCAACCCTCCGTTCTAGAATTTTTCTTACATTCCTAGGGTTCAATTCAAGTTCATTAAATCCTAGAAACTCCTCAAATTCTCTTGTGAAATTAATGACAAAAAAATTTAAAACAAAAACACAACAGTTCATAGTTTCAAAAGCGAACAGGGGTTTAAAATTGTACAGAGACTCTATCACGCATAAACATCCATTTTAATAATTAAATTAGATTCCTGGAGACTATAGAGAATGCACAGAACACAAGTTTACAGGAAGGAGATAGAATGAAACTTGCCTTTAGATTCCGGTTTGAAATCTTCACCGCCGTCTATGGAGTTTTCGACGAACGGACGACTACCGGCAACCTTCCTACTACTCCATTTCTATTCCACCATCAACCTCTTCCTTCCTCTGTGGCACACCTTCAGTCTATAGCTAAAACCTCTCTGTTTCTCTCTTCT